GCCTCCTGGAACACAATTATGGTGATTTACAATTTATTCACATCTGTTGTTGTGTTGAATTCTTTTGTACTCCATTCAAAGCTGTGTGATCCACATCTCTGGTCCAGTAGCACAGTGACTAGCTAGCAGTGCCTCAGTAGAGACCACATCAAAACGATGATGGAGCTGAACATTCATCTAACAACGCAAGCAACCACCTGCATTGGCCCCCCACCCTCTATCTATGGGTTCGATACACATTTGCTATCTAGACTCTGTATTGGACATATATTGCCATAGAAACCCTGAACACATCTGTCACTGTTAATGAAAAGCTACTGAACAACATTTATAACGAGCTACAAAAATCTAATTGGATGTACTCAGACAGATATCATGCGGGGCGTCTGTCCAAATACAGACTGCAATACGATGGAAGTGGATGATGTTTAAATCTTGGAATCCAATTATTATACTGATGTTGAATGGTCTGGGCATTCGGGTGTTCAGGAAAAGGTAGCTTATGCAGTTTGAGTTGGGTTTGGGAAATAACAAACATGAGTTGAGTTATACCCAAAAATGTGTGTTTTTCCTTTTAATGTATTCCAAACTGTACTAAAACAGGGCAAACACTCGTTATTCTAAAAACACTGCTGTGTTCTCTAGAATAAATTAATGTTTTGTTAGTCGTTCTCTGTGAGAAAACAAGCTCTTGTGCTTCTGTTTCAGGGAGTATTAACCGGAGGAGAGCAGGGTGGAAAATGGCAGGATTTGGAGTGTTAATCATCAGCATTCATGATATGTGAGCATCTCTCTAATTGGCTAACAACAGCACTCTTCCGCTGCCTCCTTTCGCTCTGCAACATTAATGTGCCTTCACAAGCCTGCACCTGTTCTGCCATGTTGTGGTGTTGCTAATGCTAATAGTTATCTTCTACTAGCTGAGACGCGCTCTGCTCGCTCCTGGAGGCTAAATCAACAACAGCCTTCCGTGGTTACAAGCCAGGGTGAGTGAGTTCATAAATGCTAATTTATAGTGTAACATAGATTGCTATGGCTTTTTGCATGAAAACATAGAGCTGCCACCCACGCAAAACTAAATTGGAGCAATATCATGCCATTAATATTATTGTTCTAACAATATATTTTCATGTACTTACAATATACCATCATGTCCTAACAACATTGTTTGAACAATATAAATATTACGTTCTTACAATATAACATTGATATTGTAAGAATGTGATATTATATTGTATAAATGTGATAAATATTTATATTGTACAATTGTGAAAATTGTATTGTAGGACCGTGAAAATACATTGTATGAATGTGAAAGTTATATTGTTGGAACAATAATGTTGTGATGTTATAACCTGATATTGGTACAATTTTATTTCTCATGGCTGGCAGCTTTAAGCTTCCATATATTTGTGTCCCGAGCATTTTCCCGTCTATTTTCTATTGGTGACTAATGCAGGAAATAGGGATAGAAGACTCTTTTTACATTCAGCCTGCAGGAGAAACTGGGAGTGACCAATAGTGTTAAAAAAAATAAAATAAAAAAAAACTACACATTTCTCACCTTTAACCAACCAGTGACTAAAATCACTAATAAATGTATCATCTGACAACAGGGGTCTAATAGTGAAAATATGACTCATTTAGCCATGAAAAAGAGCAAATAAGTTAAAGAAGTTGCATTGCACACTACTTTGAAATTTGTGACTCATTTTCTTAATTTGTCTACAAAGAATGAATGTGCATTTGATTATAAAATAAATGAACACGAACAAATATATTTTCTGCAGTCGTTGAGTATTTTCAAATCGACTTAAGTGAAGGAGGACTCTTTGCTTACTCTTTGCTTCATGAATGAAAAGCAAAATGTCATTTTTGTGTCACGTTTGTCTTCATGGCAGATTGAACAACTTTTAAACAGTTATTCTACTTATAAAACTAGTTTAAATGGAAGTCAATGGGAGAACATTTAAGTATACAGGGCAGTTTAGAGTTGCATTATCTATAATACTTTTAGCTTATCATACCTCATAAGCGATACTAATGACTGTGTTCAGTGGTTTAGTCACGTTTCAGTCTGCCAGCTGTGTAACAATATGCTAATGTTTTACGCAAAAAAGAAGCACAAACAGTAACTAAAAAATACTAACTTAGATTCAAATTAAAGACAGATGGCTGATTTTCTGAGACTTCTTCCCTATAGGCAATTCAGTGTACTGAATCACTCATTATATTTAATGAGAGCTTTCTGCAACAAGAATTATTTGTATCATTTTGTTGCCAGCTGTGAGAATCACCTTGGCTGCCCTTTGCTATACGGGTGACACATCTCATGACTATTGCTCGATAAATTAAGAACTGTTTTTATTCTCGTTCCTTAGTGCTGCCTTTCCAGAGTAGGCACATAGACCGGCGCAGCCACCGTAATCTAGTTCATCCTCACCATGTGTGATGTATTTCACTAGAGTGGGTAATGAGGACGAGGGAACTCTTAACTATGACTGGCGCTAAACCATTTTGTCAGATTGTTACATGTAGAAATGTGGAGATTGATAGGTTTTATATTAAATGCGACTCACAAGGATGAACCTTATTTAGTGAACTTCCATCAGAGTCTTGTCAGGAAGTGGCTGGTTTATCGTGAATGGTGCGTATCAACGTAATGACCATGCAAGGCTGTTTCGGGGAATAGTTGGGGAGATAAATGTAAGCATGTAATCTCTTATTCCAAATTTCCTTTAAAATTGTTATATAACCAACATGTTTATGCACACATCAATATGGCAAACGAATGTGCATGTTTGTGTATGTTACACAAAGACTTTAGTGTATTTGTACATCAGCCACATCGGTGCGAGCGTTCATGTACGTCGCAGCTGCACACTTCAAAGAGCAGCATCAGTGCAGCTCAGCAGGCGAGAGACTCAACCCCCAAAAAGACCACAGGAAGAAATAAAGCAGGCTGTCATTTTCAGCTGCAACCCTGCTTGACAGAGGTTGTATATCTTGTCTTCATTCCTTCCCCCTCGCCCTTTTTCCCACCAACCTGCACAATGCTCAAAATTAAAGATTGCAGATGATCTCAGGAACCTGCCCTGCAGCTATGAAAAGTTGAATGCAATTAAACTTTCTTGGATGAAATCAAAGAAATTATGTCAAACATTAATGTGAATGTTGGCTGCTGCCGGTAAAGCGTAGATTAAAGAAACTGGGGGAGCGCAACAGTACCAATAAAAGGTGCAGAGCAGGAGAACAAATCCACCTCCAGCGGCTTTCGGAAAGTGGAAATTCTTATATGTAGTCTTCCTGTTGATGAGTCGTTCAGTCACAATGTAGCTAAATCACCTCTATTATTCCCAGTGACTGGCAGGCTGCAGCTTATCATTGTGTTGAGAAAAGAGCAGTCAAAGTTCAGCATGCTGTAGTCAGGTTAAGGCTGCAGCCACGTTTAAATTTTTTCCCCCTTTTTCTCTTTTAGAAATAACAGAAAGCATTTCATGGTTAAAATTTCAAAAATGAGTCACTCCTAGAACTTATTCAGATGATTCTAATATGTTTTTCTTTCTTTTTCTACTTGAGCTGACACCGAATGCTGAATCTGGTTTTCCCCTTTAGATATCTACAGTTATCCTGAAGGTATCTACAAAGACACAGGATAGGTTTAAAAAAATATTGAATATCTGGTCATGGTAAATAACTAGCCTAGAAATTTTGTAGCCAAAGTAAAAGGATTTAACTCTGCATGTCAGTCTAGCCACGCTCCAAAGGAGCCTCAGCAGGTCTACCTTTGGCCCGATCAGTATTGTCATGTCAGTCATGCTACCATTTTGGTGGGCGGGAATTTTTACATAACGCTTCTCAAGGTAAAAAAATCACAATAACTAAACATAAAAAATAAGTAATGATTTAAAAACATCACAAGAAAGGGAAAATTGAAAGAGAATTTAAACTGAAAAATGACACCGTCACGATACGATAGGAGGAGGTTGGACCCAAAATGCAGAAACCCAGAACAACTCCAGGCAGGAGAGGTTGTAAGAAAATAAATTCCTTTTTAGGAGGATGAGCAAAATCCAAAAAGCACAAAGAACCTGAGAAACTAGAGGCGGGCAAAAACAACGGCGACAACATTAATGAGCCGACAACACAAAGAGACACAGACAGGGTTATATACACAGGGCTGGGTGATAGGAGACAAGGGGCAGGTGCGTGGGGAATTGGGCACAGGTGAAAACAATGAACTGAGGAGAAGCAGAAATAAGCAGGGGAGAAAACCAAAGCTACTGAAATAACCAAACTAACTAAAACCTTAGTAGAAACAAAGACACAGGGTGATCTATAAAGAAGTAAATACTTTTTCTAAGTGGGTAAAGGAACACTCACACAACAGGAGACTGAAGAACTGAAACACTAAACCAAAAGGTGGAGAGACTGGAGAACATGAGGGAAACCAGGTGGGAGCTGGGGACAAAAAGGGGCACAGAAGACTAGAGGACACAGAACATGACAGACACAAATGAAGATAAAGGTAATATAGGATTCAGAGAAAGGCAGAACAGGAAGAGATAGCAGCATGAAAAAGGTGTATAAAGGTGTATATTTTAACCCTTACCCAACGTTTAAATTTTCTAACGTTAAAGTCATTAGAGCACAAAAAAATGCACTTAGAAAGCTTCCTTTAGAAATATTATATAATATTTCATAAGTCCCAATTTTTTTACATGAATTTCATCCTTGGCTTCAGCCCTAACAAAATATAATAAAATATGTGCGTGTTTCTCAGATTTAACCCCTTCATTGCCAGGTTTATTAGCAAAACCCGAAGTTTGAAAACTGTACAAAAAATGAAAAAATCAAATCATTTTTTGTGTGTTATGTCCAGATTAACTTTTTTGTGGGTAAGTTGTCACAGCCTTGGAGTGTCACAAATAGGCATAAAAATATTTTTTGCTCACTTTGTAGTTTTTGTGTAATGTCACATTTTATAAAATACTCACGTTAAAGTCATTAGAGCACAAAAAAATGCACTTAGAAAGCTTCCCATAGAAATATTATATAATATTTCATAAGTCCCAATTTTTTTACATGAATTTCATCCTTGGCTTCAGCCCTAACAAAATATAATAAAATATGTGTGTGTTTCTCAGATTTAACCCCTTCATTGCTAGGTTTATTAGCAAAACCCAAAGTTTGAAAACTGTACAAAAAATGAAAAAATCAAATCATTTTTTGTGTGTTATGTCCAGATTACCTTTTTTGTGGGTAAGTTGTCACAGCCTTGGAGTGTCACAAATAGGCATAAAAATATTTTTTGTTCACTTTGTAGTTTTTGTGTAATGTCATATTTTCTAAAATACTCACGTTAAAGTCATTAGAGCACAAAAAAATGCACTTAGAAAGCTTCCCATAGAAATATTATATAATATTTCATAAGTCCCAATTTTTTTACATGAATTTCATCCTTGGCTTCAGCCCTAACAAAATATAATAAAATATGTGTGTGTTTCTCAGATTTAACCCCTTCATTGCTAGGTTTATTAGCAAAACCCGAAGTTTGAAAACTGTACAAAAAAATGAAAAAATCAAATCATTTTTTGTGTGTTATGTCCAGATGACCTTTTTTGTGGGTAAGTTGTCACAGCCTTGGAGTGTCACAAATAGGCATAAAAATATTTTTTGCTCACTTTGTAGTTTTTGTGTAATGTCATATTTTCTAAAATACTCACGTTAAAGTCATTAGAGCACAAAAAAATGCACTTACAAAGATGACCAGTTGAACACTTTATTAAAGCACACGAACAAAGAAAAAGTGTGTGTGTGTGTGTGTGTGTGTGTGTGTGTGTGTGTGTGTGTGTGTGTGTGTGTGTGTGTGTGTGTGTGTGTGTGTGAGAGAGAGAGAGAGAGAGAGAGAGAGAGAGAGAAAGAGAGAGAAACACAGAGGGGAGTGAGCTAACAGCTGCAGGCTGAGCACACAACTGTTGAGTGCTCCTTGCACACAGCCTGTCCACATGCATGGCAAAAGCGTGCATGCACGCTCCTCTTCCCTCTGCAAAGGTGGCATCTTTTCTTTGTCTGCTCCTGGGCTGGACCTGGCTCCACTTGCTGCTGCACCTCCAACAGAGCTGCAGCGCTGCTGGACCGCGGCAAGCGAGTGCGCCTCGCCTGGGCTGGTCTCACCATGGAGGTCCTGCAAGAACAGCCTTCGACGGATGCTCCTCTTCTGTTGGTTCCAGGCCGGTTCCACAGACAGCCACAGGACCAGGGCATTGTAGGCGCTCACATCTAACATGTTGCAGAAGAGCGACATGGGCCAACGTCTGGTCTTGCGGCGGCAGCTGTATGTTGCAACGAGCTGGAATAAAAATAAATGAATAAATAAATTACATATGCAATTAGGTTGGTGAATTATAATAAAACAAAATAAAATAAATAAATTACCTTGTCCAAGTTGTCAACTGCCCCTTTGCAGCGGTTGTAATCGATGATTACGGTCGGCTTCTGCTGCGGTCCCTCCTGGATCTGAACCTGATGGTGTTTGGTGCTGAGGAGCAGAACGTTCCGCCGGCGCTTTGGAATGTAGCTCACCGCGGTGGCGGTGGAGGTGAAGCCGAACAGGGAGGACAGAACCGCTCTGCTTTTCATCTGGAGCAGCTGTGGGGGCAACTCTGGCTTGTTGCGCCTAACTGTTCCCACAAGACAGATTTTTTTTTTTAGCAGCTCCTCTCCAAGAACCAGCGAGGTGAAAAAATTGTCCGAGGTGACAGTGCGGCCGCTCAGACCCTCCGTGAGTTCCAGCACCACCCGCTTCCCTTGCCCCCTTTCTGCCGGGGCGTCTCGAGTCGTCTTGCCCAGATAGGGAATAATCCCCCAGGCATAAGAAGTGGCCACATCGCACACCACCCACAGCTTGATGCCATATTTTGCCGGTTTTGAGGGCATGTACTGCTTGAAGTTGCAGCGACCTCTGAATCCGACGAGCTGTTCATCAACGCAGACATCTTCACCGGGGTTGTAGGCGAGAGGGAGCCGGGCCGCCCAGAGGTCCTACACTTCCCGCAGGGGAGCGAGCTTGTCCTGCTGCACCAACCGGCGGGCTGCCCTGGTCAAGCGGTCATCAAAGCGCAATGTTGCAGTCAGCATGTGGAACCTTCCCAAACTCATCGTGGCTCTGAATATCGGCTTCCCCGTTTCCTCCCCCCAGAGGCTGGCAGATGATTCCCCACGGGAACGGTGCACACCAGCGAGGATGAGCAACCCAAACAATGCCCGGAGTTCCACGCGGTCAACGTCTGTCCAATCGTCATATTTTCTTCTTCCCTCTATATTGGTGTATTTTATTATTACATCTAGGATTGTTGTAGTTAAAAAAAAATCGAAGCTGTCCTCAATAGTTTGGATGTAGCTGACAGCGAGGCGGGTGATCCCACAATGGCGGACGTCTGGAGCCCGAAAGGGGATCCTGGTGTCGGGTGTCGGGGACCAGGCGATCCCGCTCTTTGATTGCCACAAAGGATGGTCCCATCTCTCCTCTGCAGCAACCACCTCCTCATCTGAACCTTCTTCCATTTCTTCCCCTGAATCAGGCCCTGGGGTAAAGGCCTGATCTTCAGCCTCTTCATCCGAACAAGAGCTGTCATCCATGGATGAGGATGAGGCTGACTCTCCCTCTTCCTCAAGCTGCTGAAACACCTCCAGGGCTTCATTCACATTGAATCTTCTTCTCATGGTTGCGGTTCAAAGAAATGAATCCTGATCTGAGTCTCATATATGTACTTTTAGTCAATTGGTGCACCTGTGTAAGCTGCCCCTACTGAATGTAAACAAAATTCGATTCTGCAGGAATTTGTTTTGAAAAACAAATGTATGCCTTTGAAGTTTTTCAGCCTTCATCTTAGCTTTCATCCATGCAAATGCTTTGTACTTATTGAAATAACATTTTGCAAAAGTAAAATTGTGAATGAGTATCTGAAATTTAGCAGAAAATCCTTTGATTTTTGATATATAGCATGCCTTTGATGAATATTCATGAAGTCAACAGAGTGTGAGAACCTGTGCCCCCCCCCCTACACTCCCATGGCCCACACCTGCTCAACCACTCCAGATAATGATCACAGATCTGTCCTTTGAAGATCTGTAAAGTGCTTTGATACCTACATACACGCATGCCTGAACAATCACACACAAAGGAACACATGTCAAAATGCTATTTTGCAGAATAAGCTAATTTTGTACATTCAGTCAGGCTTATTTTTTGAAAGAACACTGAAAAAGCACAATTACCAAAAATTCAGAACACACACATGCAAACTATTGTATGGCATCTCTAAATAACACACAAACAATTTTTTTGCAAAATATGTATTATAATGGGCAGTCAGAGGTAAAGAAATACAGCTAAATCATTCAGTTTAAATGCTGGGTCAGCCATTGCCCTGCTATATATGGAGAAAGTATGCCATGTAGTGAAAAACAGTAAAAACTGCTTCTTACATTTGTGATGAGACTGTAAACACGGGCACAATCATAATTTTTTAAAATTATGCCAATATTTATGCTAATTAAAAATATATGATTTACATGAAAGTCAATGGCACAAAAAAATGCTTCAATGTGCTTAACTGTACAAAATGATTTCCACATTTTAATAAAGTAGGTTGAATATTTTTTCAAACTTTTTTTTGTAATTCCTTCCAAAATACACATCCTCCATAAAAATTAGATAAATTGCATTAACATAGCCAAAGTTATTCACAAAAATACACGTGTCAGCACAAAAAAATGCTCTAATGTGAGGTAAGGGTTAAGGTGTATTAAATAATTACTAATAATTAGTTAAATGAGTTGCTAAATAATAATAAATAGGTCAGAATGTCACAGGAGTGTGCATTATGCTAACTGAAGTTCCTTCAATGACCACATGGTGCAGTCTCTGCAGGATTCTTAGGAAACTATGCAGTGCAGTTTTACAAATATGAATTCCCAGAGCTAATTTTAGGCAAGTGCTTCATTAAATAGGTTAGACTGTGGGCATGAGTAACCAATTTGTATTGTTTCACAGCGACACATGCACAATGTGATTGGATCTGTGGATCCATCTAGTATCAGAGCAGTTGTGAGATTGATTTCAGACGAATTGATTTACTAATCTTTGTACCAATTAGCTTTACTGTTATGTCCTGTAAGAAATGCCCTTGTAGTCAATGAAAACAAGTCAAAAAGTCAGTAACACAAGGCGAATTACAAAATAGAAATGGGCAGCATTTTTAGGAATTTAATTTTCTTAATTAAACAAGTATTTGATTGTGTCCAGACCTCTGGAGGTAAGCCATGTTTTTATGTAATTAGGGACATCAGAGACATTGTGACTGTTGGGGAGTTACCCCTTCACACACTTCTGGAAAGCCTGTAGGCTAGTGATGTTCAGACCCTCCCATGACTAATATAGCTGGTTACCTCAGCCATGCAGATGAATTAAAAATGGCTAGTTTCACACTGATGCATCTAAAATATGTCATATATGACAATATAACTGAAGCAAGTTGCTCACAGGGAAGGTAATCATTCAAGACTTTTTATGAAGCAAGTGTTAAAAATATCAAAACATTTCTGCTCAGGACCAAGAAAAAAACAACTCAACATCAGTATTTCTAGCACGCTTTGCCGTTTTCATTGTATTGATATTTATCCCACACACAAATAAACGTGTGTGTGTGTGTGTGTGTGTGTGTGTGTGTGTGTGTGTGTGTGTGTGTGTGTGTGTGTGTGTGTGTGTGTGTGTGTGTGTGTGTGTGTGTGTGTGTGTGTGTGTGTGTGGATTAAACACTAAACATTTTCTGTGTGTCTCTGGAACTGCTCTCGTGCAACTGATACATCCATACCTGTCCACCGAGAGTGTCAGAGGGATGATGAACAGTGATTGGGGTGGTGATTAGGGACAAAGCACCTTTTCCTGAGCAGGTTGCTTGAGGCAAATTGTATAAACACATAAAATATATTAAGAAATGAAGTCAGAAGGTCACATTTAAAGATATTGTTTAGTTTTTTTTTTCTCTGAACACATGCTCAAGATTTAACTGACACCTTAGAGGGATTTTTATTGAGTGAGCGGATGAGAATTAGGTGTCCTTAGGGACACGTTGGCAGGACACATTGTTATTCCTGAAGAGCAGTTAATTCCTTGATTGAATCAGTGACAAGATATACTCTTTACCTACTCGGCCAGAGGCAGGTCGAACTGGCATGCTGTTCTGGAAACAAGAGGCACGTTTTCTCTCAGCCCTGCAGTGATTCAACTTTTAACCACGTTAAGACCCCCCCCCCCCCCCCCCACACACACACACACACACACACACCCTCCTCCATTACGGTTGTCTAAATATTCTTTAATGCTGCCATTAATAATAGCTGTACCCAATCACTGCATGAAGTTTAGCTGTGTTTGCCTCCCCATTTAATAATGCAGAGAACTGAACGTTTTACTGCATGTCAAGAATCAGTCAAAATTTTATTTTCGTGCAGAATCAAAGCACGATCAAACAAATTAACGGGCAGCAAAAAATTCATTTGAAGTGAGCGTCTGAGCAGATGAGCTCATCAAAAATGGCTGTTCAATCTGACTGGCAAACTATTAACACAACCCCCTGCCCCCAATATTTCTCCATGTGGGATTGTTGGATTTTTTTTATGTATTTATTTAGCATGTCATTGAAATGCGCTGGCATGGCTCTTGGGGAGGTATTTCATTTGCAGAGGTAAATAATTTCTTTCCTTTAATGTCTGCGGACCAAGTAGGTGGTGCCTTTGATCACTGCAGCTGTAGTTGTAGCAGAAAAAACATCTGTAAATGATCTGAAATTAATTTTTTAAACACCAGCTTTAATCATTTAAAGAGCCTTATTGACAATGTTTATCTCTGTGAACAAGCTAGATTTTTTGTCAATCCTAGGTTTGATGTTAAAGACCAAGTTCACTTGTTTTTGTCACCACATTTGCAGTGGTCTCTAGTGTGAATGAATACCTTGTGAGTGGATTTCTAAGGGGAGAAAGCTCACGCACACCTGTTTCAAGAACTAGAATTGAGCTCAGACCACAGTGAGCAGAAGACAGCAGGATTTGGAGTCTTAGTTCCTGGTATTTAGACATGTCACCTCTGATTGGCTAACAGCAACACAAGTCCCCATTGACTCAGTTTGCTTTGCAACGTTGATGTTTTATCTCCACAAATAGCTGAAGGAGTTCTGCTGTTGTAGAGTTGCTAATGCTAATGGTTAGCTTATGCTAACCTCTTCTGGATGCCAATACAACAATCTTTGCTAGACAAAATGGGTGAAAATGTTAACTTGACATTATGAAATGCTAATTTCACTGACTTTTCTAATCCAAACGTTCCCCCCCGTCTATTTTCCATCGGCGGCTAATGCAGAAAATAGGGGTAGAAGACTATTTACATGCTTGGCCTGCACTTTAAGCTCTGAATGACTGATCATGTTTCAAAAAGTAAAAGTAAAAAACTGTTTTCTTGGCCTTTAAATAAATACATGTATCCCCAGAGTCAATATATTTGTAGCTGGGAAAAGCCTTGGGAAAATGGTTTTCTGAGATTAAATTTTTTGGTTAATAGCCTCGTCTTTTATGGGTTCCTGTGACAAAAGAAGGCAACTGGAAAATCACCAGGCGGGCGGAAGCAATCGCTGTCAAGCCAGTACAATTAGTATTAATAACATATGGGTTTTCTACCTGCTACAATGGAGCTGCCATTATACATAATGTTCTCTGCCTATCTTGACAGAGACAATCAAGGAGGGAGTGGGACACTGATCTAAAGAATAAGAAAAAAAAAAAGCCCGGGCAATCATGGTAGGCTCACAGCATTAAAACCTTTTATAGATTTTTCTATGCCGCCATTTTCTGATGAGAGGGACATTTTCAATGGGTTGTGA